ACACAAATTTTTGTTATTTCCAGTTTTGTTTTTTTGGTAGTGGTGGTGGGATAATAGCCACCCTAATAGACATAAAGCGGTAGGTACCTCATTGTGATTTTGGTTTGCATTTCCCTTCCATTTTGCTGTTCAGCGTCCTTCCCTGCACTTTTTGCCCATGTGTAAATCTTCAGAGAAATGTCTATTGCAAGCCGTTGGCTCATTTGTGAGTTCTGTCATTGGTTTAATTGGTGAGTTGCTAGCATTGAAAAGTTGCTGTTGTTTTGCATATCAGGTCATGGTCAATTATCAAAATAGATCATTTGATTCCCTATGTAGCAATAAGGTCTGTTTTCCAAGGCCAACTTTTGAGCGAAGGTGAATGCAACAAGTCAAGCTTGTTTAGTCACACAGTGAGCCAATCGTACATCTAGTTGGGAAAAGGATAAGAATTGTTGGAAAAAGGATAAGAATTGTACAAATTTCATTGTAAGTCTTGTGGCCTCATCACTCGTAATGATTTTCATAAAACCTTATGCTTTGGCATTGAAAGGACATAATAAAATTCTCTAAACTCTGAAGAGCATTTAGAGCATCTTAATCCCAAGAAAGAATGATCTGGTGCAAGAGGTAAACTGTGATTTGATAATGGAAATTGTGTCTTGAGGGGTTTTGCTTAAAAAACAAAGACTCTGAAAGTATGTTTCAAGAATGATGTCACACCCTCCCCCTTCCCTTCAGCCAAAAGAGCAAAGAAATCCAGAAGTCCAGTTCTTTGAGTGCAGCAACATAATGAAGGTCACACCTGAAGTAGAGATTTAAGCAGGAGTGAGGAGGTAAATTAGTAATGATCATAATGACCAACATCATCAACATCAAAAGCATCCATTATGTTCATTTCCCAGCATCAATGCATGCTGCAAACAATTTCATATATAGTATGAGAAAGATGTGAACGCTATGAAAATCAATGAGTGTATGATAGCTATATGTGTAATAAAATTACACATTTGGTGTGTTTGTGATAACACTCATCTAAAGATTAATGGGATAATCAAAGTAGTCGTGAATCAGTAATAAACATTATTTTCAGTTCCCTGAAATGAGACTGTAATTCTTTGTTAAAACAGCCTATACACACATATATTAAAATATAAATGTGGTGTCTCACATGTTAAACACACTCCTTACCGCAGAACAACACCCCCATCCCCAAGCCGATATTTCTGGATGGGCTAGAAGGAAATTTAACATACTTTGGAGCAGTTTACATAGCTCAGGAGACCCACTGAATTTTGAATATTCATTTCATCTGCTTCTTAACTATGGCTTACCTTGTCTTTATTCATCTTTTTGAAAGGATAATTTTGGCCTTTTAAGGTCATTGCAGGTTATAATATAATATTACCTCATGAGAAAAAAAAATCTGTATTAGATGATACAATCCAAAACTAGGCAAAAAAGACATGCCAAGTTTGTGTAGAGTGGCTGTTGAAGAAACATACCATTTTCACCCTCTTTATTCGGTTTTTCTTGTTTGAGAATACAAAGAATAATAACAGACAGCTCTGGGCCCACATGAAATTGTGGATGGTAAGTGTTAAGCACACTGCCTAGTGCACAGTAGGTGCTCAATTATTGATCATGGTTACTCTTGTTCTGAACAACTGGTGGAGGGGAGGGAAGGACGTACCTGGGAGCCATGAGCAAAGAGGTTTGGGGCCAGGATGGGGCAGGATGCATTCTGGGAATTGTGTAAACGGTGCTGTGGGGCACTGGCTTGATGTAGAAAAGGAGTGAAAGGTCAGGCTGTGAAGCACTCTTGGCTGTGCAGGACGGGTGGGTCCGACTCTGTACCCCATTTAGTAGAAAAGCCACTAGAACCAGAGGAGAACCAGCTGGATCTGTGTCCACAAGAAGATGACAACTAAGTTGTCTTCTTTCCCTCTTTGATCTGTGTGGCTAGTTCTTTTGTTTTAAGGGGAAGGGAGAGGAACTCTAAACTCTTTCACTGCTTTCTGTATTTCCAATCCAGTGTAAAGTGGGACTGAGTACTCTTAATTCTGTTTGTTCGCGGGCATAATGAAGGCCATGATTGGCTGGCTTGGCTGATGACCTTGGTTGCCTCTCTGGGTGGTAGAGCTGTGTCTGAGTCCCCCGTGTTTAGCTGGTTGATGGGTTTTAAACCTATTATCCAGTGATTCAGGTGCTGCAGGGTGGTCTTTAAGGGAACTGGGGTTTGACAAAGACAAGGACCAAGTGATTCTGGAAAAAGTAAATAATTTGCATCCAAGATGAATATAAAAATGCCCCCTGCCAGGATGAGACACTCATTCAAACTTTGCGAGTGCTTTATTGCAGATCCTTCAGCCAGACCCCAAATTGCAATCTGCCTTAACCATAATTCCTGCATTTGGTTACTTGTGCATTGCTTTCTATTCCTCCTGGTCAGCTTTTAGCTTTTGAAACTCAGTGGTATGCAAATGGGTTTAATATTTCAGGCTTTTTTTTTTGGTAAGTAAGTCATAATTTATCTTGATTTTGAAGGCCTCCCAATGGCCTAAGGATTTGCATCTTTATTACCTCAAAGGGTGTTGTGAGGATAAAGTGAAATAATATATGTAAAAGCACGTTAAGTTTTTATTATAAAGCGAGTGGTTTGCATGTACAAGGGCTTGTGTTTCATCTGTCTCTAATAGACCCAGGCTTCAAAGAAATGCAGATGTTCACAGTGAGATTTCTCAGCTGATTTAGAAGCCTGAACTGTATCTAAATTCCATGGCGCAGACCGAAGGGCGAGTTGGCTTTCTTCACATGGTAATAGGCTAGAGCTGAAGAAGGATGGCAAGGGCTATAGACAGGAATGTTTTCATGTCCTTGCCAATAATAAATTGAAAAAGAAAGAAAGGAAAGGGTAATTTTCTCCTCGTAAACCTTTCTTGCTCTGAATAGATGAGGATGGTAGGTCTGAAACGCTGGAAGTTTTAGTTCCAGCAATAGGAGCGCCACACTCTTCAGTGTGTTTCAGAGAATTTGAGGAAAACCAGGTTTCAGGTTCTGAAGTGAGAAGGAAAGTCCGTCACTGGCAGCTTCAAAGGCACAGCTACAGCTCTCACACTGCTGTAAGTATAGTGACAGCCAGTTCGCGCTAGACAGTGAATGCAGTTAAAAATGCAGAAAATAGAACAAAAGATAAAGTTTTTTTTTTTTTAAGAAAGGCCAGTAAGGCAGGAAGATGCAAGTTATTCTAATTGTATCTAGAATTTTCTACACAAATTATGCTTTGTTACAAGTAGGCACAAAAAGTTCTGCCAGTATTTTAAAGTTTTTTTAAAGCAAATTATTGTATTTGTCCCTTCTGATTATAAAAATGATACATGTCTTCATGAGAACTTTATAAAGCACATAAACTATAAAGAAGAAGTTAAACATTACAGCTTCCATACTAGAAGGGATAATCACTTTGACATTTACTTTATTTCTTTTTCCATTTATCTGTATTTTGCTTGTTAGTAAAATTGGGATAATAGCACACATGTTTTGTATAGTGATTCCTTCCCCGCTAGTTATAATGTAAGTGTGTTCCCAGGTCATTAGTTTTTGAAAATGTTTTAATGAACCAGTCATGGGTCACTGTAAGACAGCTACGTGAGGCGGTGTGTAGCAGTGAAGACCAAGGACCCAGAGTCCTTTTGCCTAGGTGTGAAAACCAGCTCTGCTCTTGCCCTCTGTCTATCTCAGGTTCCTCATCTCTAACATGTGATTTAAAATAAAATGGGGCTGTTGTACAGCCTAACTGGATTCATATGTGTTCATTAAAACATGTAGAGCAGTTCCTGGCACAGAGCAAGCATTAAATAGTATCATTATGTCCTGGTTAACATGTTAGCCTATTTCTCATTATTGTCAACAAAAATTAAGCTGTGATGAATATTCTTTTACTTGAGTCTTTTTTCCATCTGAATATTTCCTTAGGATAATTTCTTTAGAAGTGGAGCTACAAAGAATTCTATTTTATTATTTCATTTTTTGTCCTTTTGAGACAGAGTCTCACTATGCAGTTCAGGCTGGGCTTGAACTCACTTTGTAGCCCCGGCTGGCCTCAGTCTTGCAGAGATCCTCCTTCCTCAGCCTCCCGAGTGCTGGGATTACAGATGTGTGCCACCATGCCCAGTTCAATAAAGAATTTTAGTATAAGACTAAGCTGTATCCTAGAAAGACTGCAAGATTTTCCCCTCTACTGTCAACCTGTGGGTTTGCCTGTTTCATTGTGTGTTTGACAATCTGGGAATTTTTATTTAAAACATTTTAGACTACTATTACTGTAAATCTATATTTAAATATTCATTTATCTGATGACTTTTAAAAGAACTTTTTTAGAAATATATTTGTATACTTTATTCTGTGTAAGTTGTTCATTTACTTCTTTTCCCTTCTTTGTAGAAATCACTATATTTTTATGTCAACTTGTGATCTGTTATACCTTTGGCAACTATTTTCCCCAGATCTTTGTGATCCATGCATTTCAAATTGTGTTTTAGTTTATTGGTGCAATTTAGGGATACAGAATGATCTCATTCATTATAAGGAACTTGTTCCTGTACATGACATATCTTGATTCCTCTTTTTATTTTTTACCATTCCTCTCCCTTCCCTTCAAAACCCCTTCCCCCTCCCCATTCACAAAGCTCTGTTTTCATTTTATCCTTCTTTTCTCCTTTTTTTCTTTCCCTTCCTTCCTTTCCTCCTCCTCCATCCCTAGTTCCTTTTTCCTTTTGCACCATTTCTTCCTGCTTCACGATAGGGATCTCATCTTATTAGAAAGCTTTTCCACAGCAAAAGAAATCACCAACAAAGTGAAAAGACAACCCACACAGAGTGGGGAAAAATATAACCATAGTTATATGTGGAGGGGTTTGAATCATTTTTTGACTTTAAGATGACCTTTGTATTTGAAAACACCAGGAGGGAATATTTTAGGCAGAGAAGATTACTCCTTCCCACACAGTGCTTACCAGGAACTACGCCCACGAGGTTGTGCTACAGCTGGCCAGCGGGGAGCAGCTAAGGGCCCGAGCTTAGCAGAAGGGAGAAGCAGAGAGAGCAAATTCAGGTGAGTGGAGTGAAAATGCCAAGGCAAGGCAAGGAAACCTCAGACTCTTGTGGACCACGGGGCTTTTCTTAGGATAAGTGCCGAGGAAGGCTTTGGGGGCTCTTTAAAGTATTCAAACCCTGAGTCTAGTGCACTTTCAGTCATTCACTGGGAAAGGTAGTTGGACTTAAGGGTAGAGGACGTGGACTTAGAGTTTAATGTTAGGGAACAAAGGTATAGGGGAAGTGAAGAAAGAAAGCAGGCCCCAGTCAGCCTCTCTGGGAGACACAGAGCACTGTTGGACGCCAAAATAAGGGCATAGAAGGAGATGTAGGGTGGGCTAAATTGGAGCAGATTCTCCATGCAGACCTGAGAACCTGCTCACTCCCACAGTAGGTCCCAGTGCCTCAGGCTTCAGGCTTCTTTGGCTCTTTGGTCACAGACCTAGACCGTGCAGCTCTGGAACCCAGTTATACCCAGAGGGAAGGATGTGTCCTGCTGACATATACTGTGGGGCGAAGGTGAGTTGGTTGAAGGGGTGATCTGGATCTAGCTTGTACTTGTGTTCAGTGACCTCACCAAGATGGTACCTTAAAATTGACTATGGTAGAAGCAATTATACCATAGAAATCAGCAATTAATCTTACTTCCCCCAACGTGGAGAGCTGGGTTACCATGTACACTGGTAGGCAGAATTCACAGGTGACTCAACACAATATTGTAATGGACCATAATTCCTGGAGATATACATTTATGGTGGAAATTGGTCAGGGAGTTTTTTCACCATAGACTGGTGTGAACTTTGGACTATGCGGCAGTCCTAACAGTCCATTCTGGTTTACCTCAGAAGCATCAGAATTCTAATTTTACATAAAATTCCTTTTAAAAAAATCCATAGTAAAAACATGTTACAGAGATAAATAGCAATAATGTAGACGTTAGTGAAACTGCACTGCATAGACCCAGCATGCATTTGTGGCCACATGGTATCTGTGGATCAATAGGAAACCTGATTTCCTTTGCAAAATTGAAAGTGCAAATTGATTTTATCATATTTATTTCTTGTACGGTTCAAGAGCCAGTTTAACAAAATTATGTATATGTGTATATGGAACTGTATTGCTATACAGTTGAATATTTCCACTTAACATAAAAGCAGTATGCTATCTTGCCTTCTTAAATCAAGTTTAAGGCAAACTAGTTACCTGAACATTAAAATATTATAAAGCCTCTTGTGATAGGTAGAATATTTTGGGATAACGTGACACTTTAGTGTTTTTCTGATGTGAAATTAAAATTGAAACTTAGCTACAAGAGGCAATACTGAAATGCTTATTTGAGTTCAGTTATTTACAGGATTTTACTTCTCTTGAAGTATTTAAAACAAACAGCCCCATTATAAAATCTTTCCTATGACAGATTTCCATAAGATGTGGTCAGCTTTCTGGGAAAATTAGATTGAATTTAAGAATTTTGAAATCTGAACTTCAAACTTTGTGGATTTCCTCTTGGTTTTAGATTTTCTTTCAGATGTTTTATTGCACATTGACTCAGCAATCAAGAAATCAAAATATCATAAGAAGGGTAACAGGTATACTATGAAAAGTACATTCATCTGGAACTCATTTTATTCTAAGACAGCATATCTTCAATGTTAAATCCAGTGTAAAACACTCCAGTATCATTAAATTCTGGAAACTCTTTTGCTAGAATTATAATTCTTCACTATTTGACTCTTTCTTCTCCTGAATATTTAAAAATTCTTCTTTATAACTAGGATTATTGCTTTGCAATTTAATAGGATTCAAAGGTTGTTAGTCACTCATCTGATACTCAGCAATCCTTTATCTCTCCTCTCTTCCTTCTACCCTACTTTTACCCGTTTTGAAAGTATACTACGGAATACACACACTCTGACATCCAGGGTAAGCTCTTGGTCCACAGTCTTGGTTGGGCTCATGTACCAGCTTTTCTCAATTCAGATTCCTTCAGAGCCACAATAACCAGGAGAGTTTAATGTCCATCTTTACCCTTTACTCTCTCTTTGGTCTTCAAGCCAAGTATGAGCTATAAATTGTACAGTGTACAGCTGGTTTGAGACACAGAGAGAGAGAGGAAGAGAAGAGGGAGGGAGAAGGAGAGGGAGAGGGAGCAGAGGGATTTCAGGAGAGGGGAGAGATGGAGGGGGAGAGAGGGATTTCCTATCATTTTTTCATGAAGTTTGTAAAACAAAGTTGGAAATGAGGAAAAAATAAAACAGGAAGCAGGATTGCACATGTAAATTAAATCTTTTCACCTCAACTCTTTTTAGATAGCCCAGGAGTATTAGGAGTGTGTGTGTTTTGGATGGGCTCAGCATGCATTCCAACAGTAAATGGCTTCCTGTTCAGCATGTTCGAAGTCAGGCTGTCTTTTGGGGTTGGTTTAAAAATATGTGTGAAATATGTACTTTTACTTCAAGCCAAGTCAAATGTTTTCAGTCACCCCCCCACCCCTTACTTGCCTCTTCTCTCTTCCTATCCTGTCATTTCTTGCTCCCCAGACAGTAAACTAGACCCCAAGATGTGTTTTTATTTTTCAAAAGGAAGTTTGGTGATTAATTACGAGTTACATTAAACATATATTATTGCCCTCAAGGGTGTTTGCCGAGAACCTGGCCAGTGTCATTTCTGCCTGGCATTCTCAGGTGTTCGAGCTTGGCAAACAGAAGTGAGAGAAGTATGCAGAGAAACCAAATATTTGGCTCAGGCTCAACAGGGAACCAGTGGATAATTGAGGGTGAGAAATGGTCTATAACTTTTCACCTCAGTGGTGATGAACCTATAATTCCCAAATTGTTTGTTTAATTTTCTATTTCTACCACATCAGTGACAAATATTATTTTGTACTGCGTGTTCCTTGTGGATTTTTTTTTCATTAGCGAAGTCCAATTAAGATGCCTGAAAGGAAAATAACATACCTGGGGCCATCATACCTAGGAAGAAATGCCACAAATGTAGCAGGGAGGAAAAAATATGGAGTTTGGGTAGAGGCCACAGGGCCCCTCTGCACAATGGTGCTCTGCTATTGATAGACATTAAAGATATGCGTCTTGTGACCTAATTAAAGGAAACGCTCAGATACTCACATTTGAAATCAGGCTGTCGAGGAACCTTTTGTTTGGCACAGGCTATGGAGACTGAATCTTCCTCGGTACAAAGGCTTCAGACAGAGGCTTTGTGCCTCTCCCCACCCCCACTGGACTGAGCCTGTTGAAGTTCTGGAATGTTCCTCCCCACATTGGACTGCGTCCCTTGAAGTTCTGGAATCCCTGCCCCGCTGTGCCTGTTGAAGTTCTAGAATGTTCCTGGACAACACATTTACTAATGAGCGTAGGTATCAGAGTTAACCTTTTCTATACCTTAGAATTTATGTAGTGTAAGAGGTCATTTATTTTTTACTGTTATGGGAATTACATAGCTTGTGTGGGAGGGGAGAAAAGCCAACCTTTCCTTCCATATAAATCTCTAAGGATAATTTATTCAAAGAATGTCTTTGACACGTGCGTCCAGGCTTTTGGTATTGGCTGCTTGCAAGTCAGTTGAACTCAGCAAACACTTACTGAATTATTGACTTGCAATCCTCATTGCTAGTTGCTTTTAATAGGATGGTAATGACCTGGAAGTAATTCAGCTTGACAACACCCAACAGCCTTTTATTATAAAAACCTGAAGAATATAGCACTGTAAGAGAACTTCCTTAACATGATAAAAGGCATTTATTAATATAAATCCCCAAATCTAAAAACATACCCATAGATAGCGTTATACTTATTGGCAGACCACTAAAAACTTTCCCCATAAAAACAAGGAACAGGATAGGAACCCCATTTTTACCACGGTTACTCAACGTTTTTCTAGAAAGTCTAGCCAGAACAATTAGATGATCAAAAGAAATAAATGGATCCTAGTTGGAAAGGAAGAAGAAAAACTGTCTCTATGTACACATTATGTGATCCTCATACGTAAAACGTACTAAAGACTCCACAGTAAAAATTTAGAGCTGATAAACCAGCTCAGCAGTGGTGCAGTTGCTTCATCCTTTGGTTGTAGTTGAGCAGCACAGTGCCTGCCTCACTGCATGATTTGCCCTCAGAGCAAAAACGAATGTTTTTAAATGTGGCTATGCAAGGTCTCCTAAAGTATGGGAAAAAATAATCGCTCCCGTGGTCAGTTTAAAGCATAAAATTCTCGTGAGACTATTTTGGCACTGTGTCAAAGTATTTTATTAAAATTCCAAATTTTATTAAAATTCCAAATACTTATAAAGCTAGTATAGGAGACAGAGTATCCCTCATCTAAAAATCTCAAATCTGAAATGCTCCAAAATCTGAAACTTTTTGAGCACCAATATGGTGCCACATGTAGACAATTCCATACTTTACATCATGGGGTAGGTCACTATCAAAATGCATGTATGAGATAGCCTCTAGGCTCTGTGCATAAAGAGTATATAAAGCATAAGTAAATTTCCTGTTTAGTTTTGGGCCTTATCCTCAAGATAATGACCACTATGGAAATCAGGAGAAGATTCCTCAAAAAAACCCTAGAAATTTCATTCTACCCAGCTCTTCTCATTCTAGGTATCTTCCCAAAAGAGTTAAAGACATCATGTTACAGTGATTCATGTGTACCCACATTTACAGGAGCATAATTCATAATAGCTAAATCTTGGAAGCAGTCTATATGTCCATCAACAGATGAATAGTAAAAGAAAATGTGCTATTTATACACAATGGAGTACTACTCTGCCATAAAGAAAGATAAACGAGTCATTTGTAGGAAAATGGATGCACTTTGTGAGCGTAATGTTAAGTGAAATAAATCAGACACATGAGTTAAATATCACAGGGTTTGTCTTATATGAGAAATCAAAAATATAAAGAAAAGATAGACAAAGGAAGCAAGGAGATAGATTTTTTGCAAAAGGGACCAAGACTGCTGGAGGGAGGGGAAGGGATGAAAAAAAGAATAACATGTTCGTGCACCAGCTCCCCATGGTGAGCGTAATCATTATGAACTGCAAACATGTACTAATAAAAAATAAAAACTAGAGAAACCTCATCATTTATGTGCAAATATCCCCAAATCAGGAGTCCAAGAACATTTCTGATTCCAAGCAGTTTGGATAAAGGTTGTCCAGCTTGTAGTATATTCTGTTTCATCTTGCCTTGAGGTGGATTCACTTCACAGTCTGAAGTGGATTCTTTAGGTTGGTTGCCTCCTGAGAGCAGATGGTACTGCGTAGAGGAAAGTGAGCACCTCCTGCAATATGGTGCCTAGAGAGAGAGATACAGAGGATCAACACACAGAAGACCTTTGCTGTTTCTTATGGCTATCACAAGCCCCATCTGATTATCCAAACCAATGAAAATGAAATAAAGTTAAAAACTAAGTTTCTTAGTTGCACTGGCGCATTTCAAGTATTTGGTAATGGCATATAGCTAGTGACTTCCATGTTGGACCTCATGGACACAGGACATTTTCATCATTACAGAAAGTTGCCAGGGCACTGCTGTAGGTAATGTTTTGTTCCTGTGTCACCTGACAGTAGATAGTGGAGGTAGTTTCTTGTCAGAAGCGATCTCAAGTTCACCTTTTTTTTTTCTGGTACCGGGAACCGAACTCACGACCTGTGCTTGCCAGGCAGGCACTGTGCAGCTGAGCTAAATCCCCAGCCCCTCAAGTTCAACTTTTAATGACTAAAAATATTTGGTTGTATTAATGTACTATGATTTTTTAAAATTTTATTTTTATTGGTAGGCATTTGCAAAACATAATGATTCTATTCCCTATGGGGATTTGGTACATGTACACAACACATCTTCTTTTCTTAATCCCTTTCCTCTGCCCTTTTCCTTTCCCCTGCACCTCTTGGTCTCCTTCTCTTTTGCTTAAGATTTATCTACCTATTTTTCATTATCTTTTTCTTTCCTCTTTATTTATAGTTTGAGTCTCCTTCTGTCAGGGGAACCATGCAATAGTTAATCTTGTGTGTATCACTTCTTTCACTTAACATTACGGTCTCAAGGTGTGTACCATGATTTTAAAAAATCAATTACTACAGAAACAACTTTTTGTAACTTAATGGAAATATGACTGTGATTTAAAAGTAAAAACCCTGCGGCAGAATTTCTGTACTCATCATAAGTTATTTAGAGTAAGTACTGGAAGATAAGTAAAATGCCTGGATCAATGTTATAAATGCCTTTCAAGATGTGGCTGAATTTCTCTTCAGAAGGTTTGTTTACCTTCCCAACCCCAGTGCCAGGGGAATCACTTGGTTTTGAAAGAAAAAGAGCAGTACCCTGAAGAACAATACCAAAAGGAAATGACACAGAAGGACAGCGTACCTGCTTCTGTGAAGACTGGAACTGCAGTTTTGGAAAAGAATAGCTGTGAACATCTAAGCTGCAAAACAACACACAATAATACCTAGCATCCACATGCAGAGTGCTATTTAGGCATTTTGTACATTAACTAATCCTTATCACGACCTTTGGAATTAGACTCTCTGACTAATCCCTCCATCAGACAAAATGGAGGCATCTGCAATAAAGAAACTGGCTTCACACAGCTAAGTAGCATCTCTAGGATTTGAATTCACCCGGCCTCGTCAGGGAGGGGAGGCTACGCATTCAAGAATCTCCATCCAAGAGGACCAGTTATGAGGGACTGAGTTGTATGCTCCCACCACAGATATGTTGAAATCCTAATCCCCAGAGCCTCAAAATATGAATTCACTTGGAAACAGGGTCTTTGCAGATGTAAGTAGCTAAGAAGAGGCTGTACTCAGGTAAGGGAGGATTCTAATCCAGTGTGCCCCACATCCTTACAAGAGGCCACGTGAAGACCTAGACCCTGGGGGGATCTTGTGTGATGATGAAGACACACACTGGAGTCACAGAGAACAACCGCCAGATGCCAGGAAGAGGAGGGGAAGGATTCCCATGTATATTTTACGGGAAGCGAAGCCCTGCTCACACCATGGTTGCAGACAATCTAGCCTCTAGAGCTGTGAGCCCACACATTTCTGCTGTTTTAACTCACCAAATGTGTGGTGCATTGGTTGCAGCTGCCCTTGGAAGGGGAATACATGGAGTAACTTAGGCATGTCTGTGTCTGACCAGATGCCTACATAGCCCTGAGTGTACCTCGCCTACTTCCAGTCTCAGTCCCCTTCACCTTTGTCAGATACTACATGATACCCAGTCATATGGGAGAGGGCCAAGGACAACGTTGGTCATTGCTTCTGTACATCTTAGAAATATTGAATAACACCCTCACACAGTGACTCACAAAGCAAATGTTTTATTAAATTTTCCAACATTGTATTTGGTTTCTGGGAAGCTAGGAATTGTATATTTTTGTTCATTTTGAAAGGGCAGTGGTTCACTAAGACTGTATGAACTTTGGTAATATCATGTAACCATACTGAGATTTGTGTATCTTGTAGGGAAAAACCACTAGGGCTTGAAACAACTGTCCATGGACTTTTCCTTTTATCCTGACTTTAATTTTCAGACTTTGTTAGAATAGAGCTTGCCCAATTTTGGAAAATCGGCATACTGCGTGACTTAAAATGTAAATCACATGTACAGTGTATTCCAAACTCTGATTTTAAAGTCTTCACAGTGAAAATAACTGGAAATTATCTTATCTTCAGTGAATACTTGAAATATATTTTCTTAATTTGCCCTTTATGATATCAGGAGGAGAGAAGAGTCCAGAAATATCAGGAATCTTGTAGGAAATCTTGTTCTCCAACATGTTTCTCTACTGTGTGATTAATTACCTGATTCATTCTCCTCTCCCAAAAACTTATCTTCTGCTGTCAGTAATTGGTGTTGAAATTCTATAAGAAATATGTGTTTAAGAAACTCTATACGAAATCACTGTTTGCCCCGACAGATAGGACTTACAAAGGAAAACCAGTAGCAGCTGCTTTACCATGCCTTTACCTTCTAAAATTGTGCCAAAAACTTTTGCATGGCATGTCTTTGAGCTGTATAAAACCTCATGAGCTGTGAGATAGACACTGATATCTACTGAGAAGGGAAGCATGAAATGTTTCAGTGGAGAAAAGAGAAAAGAGAAGCATTAAAGCTAAGATTTCAACACCTTATACTTTGCCTGGCACTTCTTGAAACTTTCTGATACACTTGAAGCACTACTCACTCAGGTGGACTGTAGAGCTAATATAAATTGAGATGTGCTCCAAGCATAAAATGGACAATGAATTTTGAAGATTGACTATGAAAAAATGAATGTAAAATATTTTGCTGATATTTTATTTATTTTTATTTTTTATTATTTTAAATAGTAAAAGAAGGATAACATAGTAATAGGGGGGCTTACCAAATTACAGACAAAGTGGTAGGAAATTACCAATGGTTGTTGTTTTACATATTGTTATCTACAAGATAGTTTCTCAGGAAAACAAATAGACAAATAATAGTGAGTTACAGACAAAAATGGTAGGTTATTATCATTATCAATGGTTGTTGTACTATACTTTGGTATCTTCAAAGTGGTTTCTAAAGAAAATAAATAGAGCTATACATGAGAGACCAATTGAATATTCATTGACTATTCTCAGTGGTTGTTGTTGGAAACACATAGTAATAAACATACATCCATTTATGCAATAGCATAGGAACAATACAAACATTTCAGAGTTATGGACAGATTAGTAGGAAAATATCAATGGCTGCTGTAATACATGGTGGTATCTTCAAAGTGGTTTCTCAGGAAGACAGAGATACGCAAGAAAGATCTAACAAGTAGTTACAGCCTAATGGTTGTGAAAAATAGCGCATTACCTCCTCACCAGTGACTCCTTTCACTGAGGTGTGATGGCTGGAAGGAAGGCCAGGACTGAAAAGAAGGACCAAGAGACTTGCAATTCTGTCTACCAATAGGCTGTTTTCTTTTTCCTCTGTAGTCATGATTACCCGGGGCTCCTCCATGGACATGACAGTCTGGCCAGAAGGAGAAGGCAGAGTATGCCCCAGGTCCCCTCATTCCTGTTGGACTAACTGGTAGGATAGGTCTGAGCTCTGGGGCCTCTGCTTCAGAGGGCAGACCAATCTTCAGTGGTCACCTTTGCATTCAGGGGATGGCCCAGGGGGCTTTTTAGGGCAGTTCCTCTTGAGGTGGCCTGGCTTTTAACAGTGGTAGCAGAGGAATGTAGTCATTGAGTTCTTCTTGGGGCCCCGAGAATCAGACTTAGGGTCTGTTTCTCTTAGTGCCGCAACAAAAGCAGCTGCTTTTTCTTGGTCTGTTTGTTTTCTCTCCTTGGCCTCCTCCTCATCACAGCTATAGAATACTGAGAAGGCAATTCTTACTAACATCTCAAGTGAGCCATCTGGGGAGAAAGCCATTTTTTGTAGCTTTTTCTCTCCAGCCTCCCAGCGTTGCTGATATTTTAATACCCATTTCATGTCACAAGACAATATTTAGATACCTTTGAAATGGCAACCCATATACTAAAAGGAAACACTTGTAAGTGATGTGATGGAGGACTTGTATCCAGAATATATATATATCACTCTCAAGACTAAAAAAGAAAACAATAAACCAATTTTTTTAAAAAAATTTATTTTTTGGTACCAGGAATTGAACTCAGGACTTGCACTTACCAGGCAGGTGTTGTGACACTGAGCTATATGCCCAGTCCAATAAACCAATTTTTAAAATGGGAAAAGATTCCAAAAGACACTTCACCAAAGGCATATGTAGACAGCAGATAAGGACATGAAAACATGATCCAACCATTTCACACCTATGTATTACCAAGGAGGTGCAGACATTTGTCCAAAGACCTGTACATGGATGTCCCTTGCAACTTTATCTGTAATAGTCAACACTCTGAGTCCACCCAAAGGTCCTTCTATAGTGAATGGAGAAACAAATCATGCTACACTCATACCAAGGAATAATACAGTAAAAAGAAATCACACAGCAATGTGGATGAATCTCAAAATAATTGCATTGAGTGTAAAAAGGCAGGCCAAAGAAGAATACCGACCATACCATTCTATTTATACACACATAGTTTTAGAACATGAAAACTGATCTATAGTGACAGAAAATAGGTCCCAGCTTATTTGGAGCTGGGGAAGCAAGATAGGATGGAAAAGAGGACTCACAAAAGGTGCCATTTCTGGAAGGTGATGAGTATGTTCATTATCTTGATTGTGGTGTGATTTCATGGACAGACACACACATTTTCTGAAATTTGTCAAATTATACATGTTACAATGTGGGATTTATTTTATGTTATCTATACCTTAATGAAACTTTTTAAAACATTATCATCTATCTATCTATCTAGCTCTTCAGATAACCAGATAACTTGGATATCTATACCTTAATGAAACTTTTTTAAACATTATCATCTATCTATCTATCTAGCTCTTCAGATAACCAGATAACTTGGATACTGTCAGTAATTTAATTTAAAAGAAAAATGAGTTTTAAGCCTTTAAAAAAGGCAAAGAATACATTTCAAACTAATTTTCCATGTACATAACATATTCTTATTTTCAAGACATTCCTGTCATTCAAAACTAATTAGTAAAAAGTTAGAAACATGAACTGTGAAGGCTTCAGTGTTAGTGATAGATTGTTTGTTCCCAGTTTTCCCTCCTTTTATGTGAGCTCCTTTGCCCCTCCTCTCAGTAAGAGTCAGAGTTGATTTCCCTACTCCTTAAATCTGGGTTGGCCCTGTGAATTTCTGCCGATCTGCTCCAGTGACAGAAATGGTGGTCTGCCAGTTTGGGGCTTGGTTGTCAGCAGCCTTCCCACACTGCCTGTTCTGTCCCTTGGTGCCCTTACACTTTCCATGTGGGTGGCCCCCAGCTGGCCCATGTGCAGATGAGTGGCTGTGTAGCAGAGCAAACTGTCCCAGGTGAGGCCATCTGGATTAGTTTCCTTCAGCTGCTCCCATAAACTCCCACAAATTTAGCAGCTTAAAACATCAGTTTATCATCTTATGGTTCCATTAGTCGGAAGACTAGCCAAGGACTAAATGGATGTTCTTGGGGGAGCACCAGGGACAATCCTTTTCCTCACCTTTTCTAGTTTCTGCAGGTTGCCTGCATTCCTTGGCTTCTGGCACTTTCCTGTCTTCAAAGCCAGCAGCAGTAAGTGGAGTCCTTCTTACATCATGTCACTGACCTCCTCATCTCATTCCCTTTTGCACTTTTAAGGGCCCTTGTCATTACACTGGGCAACCTAAATAATCCAGGATAATCTTATTTTAAAGCAAGCTGATCGGCAGTTGTAAATCTATCTACAATCTTAACACTTCTCTGCTGTGTAAAGTAACATTTTCACAGGTTCCAGTGATTAGGATGTGAACATCTGTTTTTGGGGTGGTGATGGTGATGGTTGTTATTTTCCCTATACTGTTCTTGGCCACCAGTACCTCGACAACCCAGGAACTCAGTGCAGGTCCATGAGTGATCTTTCTCTGACCAGAGCTGCCTGGCCAACTGCAACTGAAATCTCAAGCCACTGATCTGCAAAATGGTGAATCCAATAAAACTTGGTTAATCACCATCAGAAAGGATGAAGTATTTTCTTGTGAAACAGGGAAACCAAGAGTCTTTAAAAAGGGCCAACAAATGTGAACTTACTTCTTGTATTTACGTAAAACACTCCAAGATCAAATTTCTAAAATAGTTCTGATCATTTGAGATGCTCTTTTTTAATTTAACTATTTTATGAATATTTTTTTTTTTTAGGAGGTAACATGAGGACTGGGGGTGTAGCTCAGTGGTAGAGTTCTTGCCTAGCTTTGCTGAGGCTCTTGGTGTAATCTTCAGTAATGAACAAAAAGGTAACATGATATTGGATGAGCTGTCTCTTTATTGAATTATTTGCAGTGTAGGAAGTCATACTGCACATTTACCCACCCTTCCCTTCCAGCATTCTTAACTGTGTTCTTAGATGATTTTGCCAACCCAGGGGAAGGTTTAATCCTCAATCCTTGCTCTTTGGAAAAGTAATGATTTGTAGGCTGGGCCAAATTTCCATTAGCAAATAAATGATATATATTTTTAACAATGTCTCAGTGTATTAAATTGAGTTTGTAATTCTATTTTAAGTAGACCTGACGTGCAGGAAACTACTTATGGTTTGTACCCTGTGGTATAGATCACATGATCAACATTTGGAGGGTCAGAATTTTGTTTATATCTTTGACATGCCTCAGGATAAAAATTCTCTGTTTCAATTGTGAAACAGGAAGGGAAAACTTTAAAGTAGCTTTCTGGTAGACATAACATTTTTGCATCCTGAGTGAACCCTCAGAAAACTGAGACTCAAAAGTTTCAAGTGGAAAAATATGAACCAAGCAGAATAATTTCTAATTGAAGCACACAAAGTTTTTTACCTTGCAATGTTTGTACCATGCTATGTTTCAGTTGTGAGCCCTAAATTCTCCATTTTCAGGATTTACTAGCATAACAGGAAAGAACAGTGGGTTAACATCATCAGTTTGGTGGTAAAGTCTCACAAAACAGTGCACATCTGCCTGTTGGTAACTTCATGCTGTAGAAGGTCCACTTATGTGTGTGTGTGTATGTGAGAGAGGGGTGGGGGCAGAGAGAGAGAGAGAGAGAGAGAGAGAGAGAGAGAGAGAGAGAGAGAGAGAGATGGGCCTCTTCATTACCAGTAAAATTTATTATGAAAGACCTGAAATTGGAAATTAAGAAACCTAGGTAATTCTTTGGCAACCAAACAAGATTCACACATTCAAAACTCTTGGAAATTTAAGACACCTGCTAATGGTTCCTAGTATAACAGATCAGGGAAATATTTAAGAATAAATAAATAGGTTGCATCATTGGAATTTCTTGTTTCTTGTTTTAGTTTGTTTTTTTCCTTTGCTTTTGGAGTATTTTGAACTTCACCATCATGAAGTCTCCTGTCTGTGGATATAAAAAAATTACTTTTTCTGTTTTTTTTCCCCCATAGAGAGCAGAATGCATTTGAAATGATCTATGAGATCTGAAGAGTCTTCTACGTTGGGATAAACACCAAAGTACTTCTTCTTCTTAATTCCCTTATTATTGGTTTTCTGTTGGGAGTTATGTGACCAGTGTTGGCCTCAGAGGATGTCACAGTGTGTTTAGAGCTACAAATTAGATAAGGTGTTATCATCATCTAACCTGGCTAATGCTGTGCTCACTGAAAAATTGTAGTTTCCATGGCAATACTGAAAATGGCTTTGCTGTTCACCAGCAAGTAAAATATAAGACATTGCTTTTAACTATTTGGACTTTGGAGAGCTCTAAATAAAACTGCTTGTAGTGTTGTGGCCTGTCTCTGCTTACTGTTATTACCTGGAACCAGAGGGAGTACCTCTCATGTCAGTGCGTGTGAGAATGTTTTCACACGTGCAGGTGTGCAAATCTGTACTCATGGCTTTATTGGTGGATGAGGCCGGAAGAAACTTATTTTCCTACTTACAAGAAAAAGTCAGAGTGCTTAGGTGGGTTTTTTGAAGTGTTTTTAACTCAAGTAGAAAGACAACATTGATTTATTTTAATTAATTTAAATAGTGGAAATGTTAAGTCTATGAAGACAGATAGGGCAGTGACAGCAGGAGACACATTTATTCGGTGCTTACTGTGTGCATCTCCATAACCTGTGTTGAGTTCACCACTGCAAGAAGAGGCATTGTATTTGCAGCATATGGATATGGAAGTAGTTCAGGAAGATCAAGCTACTTTGTGTCAGAGCTCAACTGCAAAGTCAAGTGTGATTCCAAATCATATGTCACAAGCTCCATACTCTGATATGTCTTATCTCACCAGAGTTCATTGTCTAGGCCAGTACTATGTTCATAAGCATTTACAGAATGCTTGATTGTGATGGAAAGAATTTTACACACAATTGTAAAATGAGGAAAGAGAAAAGTTTTAAAAAGATCTTTCTAGAAATCCTAGTCTCAGACACATTTATGTAAAAGGAGGTTCAGTTATGTTGTGACATTTATTAGGGCTGAACTAGATGACAAAGGTAAATATATCGCTTGAAGTCAGTCTCTAAGGAGATTTCTATTGGCCTCCTATGTGTATATGCTATTGTTTAAATTTTATTTTTTTTTTTGTAAGGGATCACAATGGATATTGTTTACATTTCAAAATATATTTCTTAAGAGAAAAAATATAAAATATCTACCTCTTATTTTGAAAATGCAAAATACTTGGTTCCCAAATATCATACATTTAATCCTTTTAAACAGGTTGCCATATTAGGTATTAATATCTAAGTATTAAAAACAAGAATTGTGTGGACTACAGAGGTTAGGTGACCAATGAGTCCTGACCCCAGGCATGAAAACAGTGCCATTCTTATGCAGACAGCTTCCAGACACCAAACACTGGTCTCCTAAGTACTGATTTGGATAAGGATTATCACTGAAGATTGTAACTTCCACTGGTCTCAATTCGACAGGTCTGAGAGCGAATGATAACACGAGGGAGTCTAGAGTGCTGATCACTGGTAGAATGGCAGAAGGAAGAGTTGAGAGAACAAAAGGTAGTTGTGATCATGTACTAACTGCATACAGAATAGCTACTGGCATGGTGTTATCAGGGAAGAGAAGAGTAAAGGTTTCAGTTGATGATTGATCTACCCTAAAGCTAACAGAGCTGAAGCAATAGCATCATCCGTACTATTACCTTCCCTTTCTTTTCTTCAATGGGAAAGAGCTCCACAAATATATGACTTTGAATTGCTTTGTAAGATCCGCTGACCTAGAGCTGGTTCATGGTTAACTGCTTCTCGTTGGACATGTAAGGTCTTTGCAGTTTCCTGGAACATGGCTAAAGAGCACAAGTGTATATGTGATGAGTCAGAGCTCTCTTCACTTCTTGGTACCTTATTTGCACAGACTGAACAACAGCGATTTGAGTGGAAAGCCCTTAATACTGAGAAACAGAAATACAGAGGGTTTAGGAGCTCTCGACTTTGTGTCCTGAGGAAATGGACTCTAAGCTTTTTTGCCCCACTTATTAGCTATGTCTATTTCCCTATCAGTACAGGGTACCTAAAGTTTTTGGGATGGTCACTGTACAAGTGAAATAAGTGGATGGATACAAAACTCCTGGCACAGGGCCTAGAAGAGCAAGACATTAAATGGTAGCTGCTGTTAGTCACAGGATGTAGTGGTCTGCTGTCTGACTCTCCTCAAAGAGAAGTTAATACCCAGATTTGTTTCATGGGAGTATCTGTCTAATGCAATTGACCCCAGAAGGCCACTAGCAAACCAAGTGAGAGAAAAGCCACTACCTTGTGGCCCCAGTGACTAGGGTTTAGGTATGGGCTCTTGTCTTTGGCACCTTTTAATCTGACCAATCCGGTGCTTCACCGGCATAAATCTACTTCTTCCTAAGGTTTTTCCTTTGCAGAAACAAGAAGACTCTTGAAGCCAATAACCAGTTATTTATTTTTAGATGTTTTAAAAGAAAAATAATAGTGTGAGGCTTTTGCATGAGCTTTCTTCTGAAATGACCCTTGACAGGAACTGGAAATATTTCTTGTCAATGCAGCCATTATCTCTTGCGACCAAACGGGATGTGGAAGGTGGGGTGGAATTTCTGAGTTCTTTGTCCATAGGAACGAAATGTCTGTCATTTAGTTAAAATAAATTATTGATTTTTAAATCAAATCAAAATATTGAGTCAAACAAGTGGGCACTGTACATGAATTTTCCCTTATTTTTAAGAACTGTTTTCACTATTTTATGAACAGTGTGTGTGTGGGGGAAATCAGGGGTTATGAATAACAAAAACTTGTTTTGGACTTCATGAAATCTAGCAGGCAATTAGAAGACAGTCTGAAAAGGAATTTAAGTTACCGTTAGTTCTCAGAAAAATAAGTGAGCCTTTTTCGCCTTATCAGGTGAGCAAGTGACAAAATGTTATAAAAACTATTTGCTTAGTTCCCACAGCCACCAGAACCCAGTGCACAAAGCTCACATGATCCTTCCCATGGTTTCTTCTCTTCCAGGGAACAAGGGCTTTAAGTGTCCTCAGTATCACCCAGGACTTGGGCTTGGGAAAGTCTTAAGAACAAATGATTAGTTTTGCTGGAAGAGAGGCAGAGAAAGCTGGTCACAAACTTCCGTTGAGTAATGACAGCTTTAACCGATCAAGAATTGATCCCCCTCCTCAGGGATTAAGAAATGACCTAACTTTTAGTTTCTTTACTGTTGTCTTCCAGATCTACAAAATTTATGTACACATGGCCCAGGGTAAAGACAGTAAAAGAATGGGTAATATCACATTGATTTCTTTTTTATAATTTTTTTATTAGTGCAGTTGCAGTGCATAATGATTACATCGCTTGTAGGGAGTTGGTACAGGCATACAACGCATCGTAATTGTTTTTGTCATCCCCTTCCCCTCCTTTCCTTCTTCCTCCCCCACCTCTCAGTCCCCGTTCCCTCTGTAAAAGATCAATTTCTCTATTTCATATTGTCCATCTTTCATTTTGGTCTTTGCTTATATTTTGGGTTTCTCATTTAAGATACATTTTCCTACAAATGATCAAATGCTTCTATCGTTTCAAGAATAAATACCTAGTCCTTAAGAGGGGTGGGAATGTTCTTGCTCTGGCACCAACCTGCATACCCGGTCTCTTTGGACTGCTTTCTCTCTGCTTCAACGTTGTGTCTCAGCTTCGCTATCCTGTGCCAGGAACAGCAGCATCACTGTGCCACTTCATAAATGTTCCTCTCTGCCTTTGAATTTCATACTTCTTTAACCCAGAATGCCCCACTCCTTTAGTTGCCTAGGCTAACTGATAAGTCATCATTTAAAACCTGCTACTCAGCCCTGAATCTGGGATGGGTGTACTTTCCATGTCCTTTCAAAATGTCTCTCATTTTTTTCTTCTTTGTATTTATCATACCATGCCATAATCCTCAGGCTTATTGTGCACATCTTCACCTAAACCTGGTTCTTTGATTTCACTGGTGTTAGGTGGGGCCTGGTGTAAAAGTTCCCTGGTGATTCTAGTTCACAGCCCCCATTGATCACTGAACTAGACTGAAATTTCCATGAAGATAGCGTGGTTGACTGCCTCGTTCACAATCCCACCCCATTTTCTAGCTCAGTGCCAGAAACACAGCAGTGCATAAACATGATTTCTTGTCGAATGAATAAATGAGTGTATTAAATTCTATAGGCAGCATGTAAGTTACAGTCTTTGCTTTCAAGCAGTTACTGTAGTTGGAAAGGAGTGAAGGGAATTTCAGAAATTCTGACGTTACCACTCATACACATCAGCAGTGAAAGGATTTTCAGTAGTTGTAATGATTTCTTGTTGAGAATGCCTTCTTTCTGAATGCAGAATTTTTCCAAGTGATATGGCAGAGGTTCAGTTGATTGAACCTTTGAGCCAGTTCTGTGTAAGCTCTTTGGAAAACTGCTAAAGCCTTCTGAGGTCATTCTAGACCCCTCGCCTTCCTCTGTTATGCACTGAGGCAGGAAATGTTTTCTCTTTTCTGCAATGAACAACTCGATGAGCCTGCAAAGAATGCACGTAGTGCAACACGCTATCGACTCCCTGCAGCTGTTTACCAGCGTCTCCTCCATTCTCAACAGGGACGTCACGTTCTTTTGGCTACTAGTTACGGCTTTATACATAAGACAAAATAAACACTTCCTGTAGGACTTCAGAGGCCAACTTCACTTATGTCTTATCTTTCATTTTCCTTCAACCCAAAGCGGAAGAAACAAGATTAGAGAGAGACTTGCATTTATCCGGTTGTGCTGTAGTCAGTAAGTAGATACATAAAAAAAAACTAAAACAAATTTGGATCCTGAAAGCAATAAAATCCCTGAGTTTAATTTTTCTCATCTCGCCTCGCTTATTTTTTCATTCTTGTGAGTGGTCATGGCTGCCAACCAAGGTCATCTGAGAACAATAGACCTTAGTCACTGACATGCTGAAGGTCTTGTTTAGAAGGGGCCACTTGGAGCTGCTGCAGTCTGACCTGAGTCATCCCAGTCCGAGCCAGGAAGGCTAAAGTGTTGGACACCCCCCAGAATGGTGAGTGTTATCGTAGTGAATCTCCAGGTTAAGGAGGCAGTGAATGCCGGGGACACATGCCTGGGCTTTACTGCCTGAACAGGACAGTTCTTGACCTTTTAATCAGGACAGGCTGAGATTGAATTCTGGCAGAATTTTCCAGAGATCACCCTGAAGGAAGAGATGCTGACTTCATGGGGAGACCGTGAGATTCCAGGCGTGTGGACTTAGGTGTAAACCCCAGGTCCCCCACGCACTGTGTGAACTGGGTAA